TACTGTCATAAACTCCAGATTATTTTGGTCCAAAATTGTGCAACTACTATCCTTAAATATTAAGGTATAGCTCTTCTCAATTAATTGGCCAACACTTATCATATTTTAGTCAATATTTGGAACATACAAAACATCATAAATGAATTTAGTACCTAATGGTGTCTGAACTGAAATCTTGCCAATGTCTTTCACTTCAACATACTCCCAATTTCCCACTTTTACTTTTGATCTGTAGCCATCATTCATCTCCACAAAGATATCTGAGTTTGAAGTCATATGATGAGTGCAACCACTGTCAAGTAACCAAGTTTCAACCTTGCTGGTAGCTGTGAAGTTTAAGGCAAAGAACATATGCTCTTCTGAGTGATCTTCATCTACTTTGGCCTGCTGCACCTCCTTCTTCTCTTTTTGGTTTTTACAAACCTTTTCCACATGTTCAAATTGTTTACAAGACCTGCATTGGACTCCAGGTCTAAACCAACACCATTTAGGTGAATGGTCTTGCCTTTTACAATGTGGACCAGGAGGGTACTTAGTATCCTTTCTAGAACCTTTAACAGCTTTCTTCTGCACATTTTGTGGCTTCTTTCCAACAAAACTTGTTTGAGTTCTCTACTTTCCTTTAGCAAACAGAGCACCTCAACTTGCTCTTCTTTCTTGAACAATCTCATTTGTTTAGTGGCTTGAAGGGCATTCACAAGTTTAGCCAAAGAGATGTTAGCCAAGTCTCTTGAATCTTCAAGTGAAAAAATCTTGGATTCAAACTTCTCTGGCAGACTAATTAACACCTTCTCCACTACTCTTTTGTCTGGAAAATCATCACCTAACAACCTGATTTGATTCACCACCTTCATCAACCTATCAGAGAAATCATTGACAGATTCTGAATCCTTCATTTTTAGAGTTTCAAACTCCCTTCTCATATTCAAGTCCAGCATTTGCCTGGTTCTCTCACTTCCTTGGAATTCCTCATTCAGTCTATCATACGCCGCTTCCTTTGCTGTTTCACAAGTGATTATCCTTGTCAATATAGAATTTGAAGTAGCAGACTGAATGCAAGAAAGAGTCTTGAACTTCTTGGCAACATCTTCACTGTGTTGTTTGATTTGATCAACTGTGGGGTTAGCTCTCAATGGTGGATGTTCAATTCCTGACTCAGTTATTTCCCAAAGGTTATAAGCCTTGAGATAGGCCTTCATCTTAGCTGCCCAGAAATTGTAATTTTCTCCATTAAAGGCTGAAGGAAGAGGTATTGAAAATCTACTGGAAGCCATCAATCACACTCACACTTTTGGCTAGTGAAGGTTCCTTACTTGTCTTCTCTCAAGAGTTTGCTCAGAATGAAAGGAAAAAAAATGAAGAACAGAGCTTACCAGATTTTATACAAGTTACCGGATTTTCAAACACTTACCGATTTTTTGAAGTTACTGAATTTGCAGAAAGCTTATCGGGTTTTACACAACTCACCGGATTTGACACAACTTACCGGATTTGAAACTTATCGGACTTGCTTTGAACTTACTGGATTTAATAGAGCTTACCGTATTTGTAAAGCCTACCAGTTCTTTTCTTACCGATTTTTCCCCGTTTTCCAGCGTTTTTCCAGCCTTTCTAAGATTGATTTTCAGCTCTGATACCACTGATGGTTTATGAAACAACAAAGAGGAGGAAAGATATAGAATTTCACTCAATTGAAATGATGTTACACGACTCCTTTATATAGCCATACTTCCATACTTTTCAAAATATCTTTCTACAAACTATACTACCTACTACAACTCAAACCTTACTTGACTAATCATCTAGACAACTTATAGTACCAACTTGCATAAAATATAAAACATAACTTAATCTATCATAAGTTACAAAATACATGTCAAGCTAATAATAACAAAATGGTTTGACAACAAAAGTGTCATATTGACACGGTTCATCACATACTTAAAAAAAAAAAGGTTACTGTTCACGTGAACAGTGTACGACACTATTCACGTGAACAGTGTCGTACACTGTTCATACAGTTAAAAAAAGGTGAAAAACTGGCAGAAAAGAGAAGAGAGAAAGAGAAAGGGAGAGAGAAAGAGAGAGAAAAAAAAGGAAAAAAAAAATCATACATTTGTTTGATACACTTGTCTCTAAACTTAATAATTTGTTCATATAAATAGGTAGATATTAGGTTTCACTTAAGCTCAACTTACCATAAAATATAAAAAATATGTTACAAATAAAATAAAATAATAAAATCAAGTAAGTTAGAAATTGTGGAAAATAAATAAATAATCGAAAAATGTTATGTTAAATGATAAAAAAAAAAAAAGAAATCTAAAATCAAGATTTATTAATTTATTTATTTATTTCAAAATAAATACATAAATTTTGAGGGGGTATTTGTAGACATAAAAAATAAATAAATAACTAAATAAGTAAAATAAAATAACAAATAATGAGTTGTGTCAATTTAAATAAATAGCCCAATTAAATTTACAAAACTAAAGCCTACTAAGGCCTATAAAATTTTAAAGGCCCATCCCACTCTTTCAAAATCCACAATTATTTAATTATAATCAATTATAATTGAATTAATTGAGTGATTACCAAAATTATTCACGAATTTCCCTTATAAATAGGACCAAAGATCCATAAAGAAGGGGAGGCAAAAGTGAAGAAGAAAAATCACGAAATACTGAAGATATCTCAAAATTGAAGGAAGAGAAGAAATCATCTCAACCCCAAGTCCAGCGAACACGAAGAAGATCAAAATATTCTTCAAATCAAACAAACCCAAGAAGATCAAAATCTTCTTCGAATTAGATCAAGATAAAGCCCAAATTTCAAAGTGCGAATCCAAGCTTCGAAATTCAAGTGTCAACAAGTCAAGTTCTCGACAAATCAAATTCTCAACAAATCTCGAAGTCTAGGATTCTAGCCACGTGGATCCTTGTCTTCAAACATTCAGATAATTAATAAGAGGGTTTTGTAATTTTGCAATTACAAGAAGATTCATATTTATTTGTTTTTCTCAAAATACAATTTGTAACGATTTATGTATTTTAATACGCGAAATTCGTCGTATAGTGGTAATTAAATTAATAGTACAACATTTTTCGAAATTTATTAAGAAATTCAATATTTACGTTAACTAAATGTAACTATTTATTTATTAACTTATATAGTAATAAATAAATAAATAAATAAATTTTCAAATAAATAAATTGTTAAAAATGAAAAAAAATATATGAAGAAATGATTAAATGTGGTTCATTTGGTGCAAAACTAATCTCAAATTTTGGTGTAGGGTTAGAGATGGCATAAACAATGTCTTTTATAACCGTAAGAGTGCCTTGAGAGTTGTGCTCGAAAAGTAGTCAAAATAGATCAAGAAAAGCCAAAAAGAAAGGCCAAAAAAATCAGCAAACATATCCCATTCGATCGGTGGTGAGTTGTCGTCAATCGAAGTTTGTTATAGTCACACCCTTCTATCCTCTTTTAAACATCGATCTAACAATTGACTGGCCACACAGATGCTTGGCCACGTGTAACACCTAGCCATTATCATGTCACTAAGCGTTTTCATTTTTGAAACTTTAAGACTCCCCAACTCCTCGCGATGATGTGTACGTGCAAGTGGGGATGCAACTCCCTTATGGCTGCCTCGGGCTATAATCTAGGGCAGCCTTATTGTCCAAGTTCAGCCAATTAATTAAAAAAATTAGTCCATCTTTGCAATCAAATCCAGCCAATTAAACAAATAGCCCCGCTGAAACATTAAATTCACTATCTTTTATTTTTCTTAACTTTCTTCTAAATTATTATATTATTTCTTTTCATTGAAATTTGAAATACTTTGGATGCAATCTGAAGAGTCAAACATACTCTCTAAATTAAAAATGTTAATTTAAAGAGTCTATTTGAGCATAATTTTAATGGTTGACTCTTTAAAGGAGATAGTATCTTATGTTTAAAGAGTCTCTTAGATATGCTCTAACTCTTAGAAAGTCAAACTAATAAATTGAAAGCAATAAGTCACTTTTGATTGTTTCTATATGATTAAGTCAATTAATCCAATTTCACCGTATTTTTGAATACCACAACAAATCAAAAGCAGTAAATAAATAAGAACAATAAAAATGATCATGGAGGAAATCCCTTCGTAAAGGATAAAAAAACTCCTAGCCCAAACTAGTCATATCCACTAGAAAAGTTAACTCACAACTAGTTTAGACACTGCTAAATCTTAGTGACTCTGACCACCTAGCTTGTAAATCACCGAGGAACTCCGTCGGTTGTGCACGCCGCACTTCCTAGAACTCGGGCCACTTTTCTCTCATGTGGATCTCTAAGAACGAACCTTGTTCTATAGCTCCGAAACTCCAACTGCCTCTTCTCCAAACTCCAGAACTTTGAAGGCTAATTGGCAAAGATGGGGTGTGGTTTTGGTGATTGATCAATGGATCTTTATGTATTTTGATCTTGGGTTGAATATAGGGATTTATGGATCAACCTATAAAACACTGATTGGAATCAATTTATGAATTAAGGAACTTCGTTGAACCTAGAGACTTTGAATGTGTTGTTAATCTCCAATAATGAGTTCTCTGAATGATTCAACATGCTTTCGGACGTTGATGGGGTTGGATATATATAGTGGGTATTTTTTGGAATGAAACACAAATAAAAAACAAGTGTTTTATGCGAAACGAGAATTCTAGTCTGTAACCTGCCGCTCGAGTGCTATGTAGGCACTAATCAGATTCCTCAATCATTCATTTATACAACTTATCAGATTCCTCAATCATTCATTTATACTTTGTCAAACCCAATTCATTATTTTAGGCAAATATCAATAATGCATCTCACCAAGAAATTTATAAATAATCAATTAGGTCAATATCTTGATTGTTTTCTAGTGGATTTGAAAGGAAAACACTGTTCAATGCTTCAATTCAAATTCTACCAGCATTTCTCTTTTCACCTTGAGGCTCACAAGAGAATTAAGAAACATGGAAGATCAATCTGCAAATGATATCAGGACTCCGTTATGTAAAGTCCCATCATCAAAATTTCAGTTCTTTGTTCAAGTTTCGTTATTCCTCTATGTAACATTGCATACACGTATTTGCAGTATCTGAACTTGACAAAAATGATGATCATGGAAATGTATCCTGCTCAAATCCTGAGGTTATGGAACCCGAAGAAACTTCACCAGTCATGGAGGTGTCTCTGACTGTACCTGTTAACGATGATCCCTCTCTTCCTGTTCTCACCGTTCGAATGTGGGTGTTAGGCGCCATGTCGTGTGTCCTTTTGTCATTTCTCAATCAATTTTTCTGGTACAGGACCGAGCCGTTAACCATAACTGCAATCTCTGTTCAGATTCCCGTTCTCCTTTTAGGCCGACTCATGGCTGCCAATTTCAAACAGCGCGTTTTCTTCAAAGGGACTCGATGGGAATTCACATTGAATCCAGGTCCATTCAATATCAAAGAACATGTTCTTATTTCAGTTTTCGCAAATTCTGGTGCTGGAATTGTCTCTGCCATTCAGGTGGTTACGGCCATCAAGGTTTTTTACAAGAAGAAAATTACCTTCTTTGTTTCCCTGATTGTGGTCATAACAACTAAGGTTAGTCGTTATCTTTTCTGGTTGGCTTTTCTGCCCTAAATCCTAATGCCTATTTTGAGAGCAATGAAGGAGATAAAAACAAGTAAAGTTCAACACGAGAGCTTAGTGCACTTGTCACTGAAAGTTCTCATTATGAAACAAAAGGGTGATCTCACTCCTATAAACGTGTCTCACAAAAAAATAGTCCCATAAAAATCCTTCACATCTTATAATAATATTAGGGGAATTCGCAGTTGAGGAATAAGTGTATGATACAATTAGGCTCTATGCAGCCTGACAGACCATTTAAATCGCAGGCACTGGGGTTTGGATTGGCTGGTATATTCAGAAGGTATCTTGTGGAGCCAGCAGCTATGTGGTGGCCTGACAGTTTAGTCCAAGTGTCGTTCTTTAGGCAAGTTCATAGAGCATATTGTGTTAACAATCATTCAGTTATTATATACATCCATTCCTGTGTCAGGCTCTAAAACTCAAAATATGCTGTTGCAGAGCTTTGCACGAAAAAGAAGAACGGACTAAGGGAGGATTGAAGCGTTTTCAGTTCTTTATAATTGCCTTTATCTGCAGCTTTGCTTACTATGTCTTTCCTGGCTATCTTTTTGAAATGTTAACATCCCTTTCATGGATCTGTTGGATCTTCGTCAAATCAGTCCCAGCCCAACAACTTGGTTCGGGTCTCTATGGGCTTGGTTTAGGGGCTTTTGGGCTTGACTGGTCCACTATTTCGTCCTACCTCGGAAGCCCATTAGCAAGTCCATGGTTTGCAACTGCTAATGTTGCTGCTGGATTCTTTCTTTTCATCTATGTTTTGATTCCCCTGTGCTATTGGCTAGACATCTATAAAGCCAAAACCTTCCCCATATTTTCGAATGGTCTCTTCACAACCACTGGCAAGATTTACAACATTTCAAGTATAATTGATTCCGATTTTCACCTTGATACCACTGCCTATGAGCAAGAAGGGCCTCTATACCTCAGTACATTTTTTACAATGACATATGGCGTTTGTTTTGCAGCATTTTCTGCTACTATTGTGCATGTACTTCTTTTCCATGGAAGGTACTGATGGGTTATTTAAGGCATTTATCATTTGCCTTCTATTTTGGCTTCAATACCTACATGACAATGATTATAATAAATGATAATTTCTTGCGGTTAAAAAGATTATTATGTTTTTAACTGAATATCACTTGTGCCGTATAATGAAGAGAACTATGGGAGCAAAGCAAATCAAGTTTTCGACAGAAAACAAAGGATGTATACACACAATTGATGAGCAAATACAAGCAAGTTCCTGAGTGGTGGTTTTGGTGCATTCTTGTAGCAAACATTGGATTTACTGTTTTTTCCTGTGAATATTACAAGGATCTACTTCAAATGCCATGGTGGATCTTCATACTAGCATGCACCATTGCTATTTTCTTCACTCTTCCTATTGGGATAATGACTGCTGTCACTAACCAAGTAAGGCAATTGTTGGAGTTTTTGAATCAAAGAGTGGAACTCATCGGATTTAATCTAACCGGTTTTAACATTCCTAACCGTTTAGTTCAACTCACCGTATTTGCACTTAAACTACCGGATATACACTTGACTTATCGTATATGCAAGGAACATATCGGATTTATCAAATGAATTTCTGTTTTGTGGTAAAACAGGGTGCTTACCGGATTTACACTGAGGTTATCGTATTTGCACTCAACTCACCGTATATGCCTAAAAACCTACCGGGATTGCTACTGTCTTGTTCTGTTTTTCCCCTGTTTTCTCGTTTAAGGAAAATAACCTGTTTTGCTCTGATTTTCTGGAAGATTAAGAAAGAAGATTGAAGCATTTTTTTCATACAATACTTGAGGTATTTATAGGATTACATAGACATGTTTTCCACCTCCTTAAACTAACAAACCGTCATTAAAAAGATCTAACTATGATAATTTTTACAAAGATTTAAGTTATCAATTTGAACACTTAAACTTAAGACTTAAGATACAAAATATCTAGCCTACTAAAAACAAAAACTGAAAGTAAGAATGTCAAACATATTCAACAGCAATCCTCTTCGAATTTCTAAACTTCACTTCATTTCTAAAGATTGTTTACATCTATCCTGATGCTCGACATTCTTGCAAATGACAGGCACCATACTTGATCATGATTCTTGAGTACATAATTGGATATACTTATCCAGGATATCCAGTGGCTAACATGTGCTTTAAAGTTTACGGTTATGTGAGCATGACTCAAGCTGTTACTTACCTCCAAGACTTCAAGCTTGGCCACTACATGAAAATTCCACCAAGAACAATGTTCATTGTACAGGTCAGTTTTACCCTGACAATTTCCTGATTTTCACGACTACTTTATATCGGATCCAATCACTGACTAATAATTGCCCATTTAGTTAGTCGGGAGTATCATTGCCAGTCTTGTTTACTTGGGCACTGCATGGTGGTTAATGGAGACAATCCCTGACATCTGCAAGACGACATCCTCACATAGTATATGGACATGCCCTACTGACCATGTGTTCTACGATGCGTCTATCATGTGGGGTCTTATAGGCCCTCGTCGTACTTTTGGAGATGAAGGAGTTTATACGTCGATTAATTGGTTCTTCCTTGGTGGTGCAATTGCTCCTCTTCTTGTCTGGTTCGCTCACAAGGCCTTTCCTAACAAAAAGTGGATCAAATTCATAAACATGCCAATCTTGATAGGCGTTGTTGGAATGATGCCACCGGCTACTGCTGTTAATTACACAACTTGGATTATAGTAGGATTCTTGTCTGGCTATGTAGCTTATAGATACTGTCCAGATTTGTGGCAGCGATACAACTACATCCTTTCTTGTGCATTAGATGCAGGTCTTGCCTTTATGGGGGTGCTTTTGTATGTTTGCCTTGGGATGGAGAATATTCGCCTCGACTGGTGGGGCAATGACCTCGATGGCTGTCCTTATGCTTCCTGCCCAGCGGCTAAGGGAGTTGTAGTTGAAGGCTGCCCAGTAGTCTATTAAATTAGCCTGAATAGAAGTCTTACCTGGCCCCTGACTAGAGGAACTGGCATTTTTTTTTCTCTTCAGTCATTGGGATACAATATTTTTAATATTGCTTCGTACATTCTTCATCAGACAATTTTTTTTCTAGGTACACGAGAAAACATTCATAACCTAAGAATCAAATGTTTATACAAAGTTGAATCATGCACGAGTAGCATCATGTGGTATCATTCTGCATTACTCTTGATGTCTATTTCTTTCTGCTTCTCCCAAAGCTTGAATTGTATCATTGAGAGGGCAAAAAGTTGTTTGTCAATGACCATCGAGTCGGTGATGTTTATTGTTGTTTCATTATGCTTATTACTCGTTTATGGAAGGGGCTTGGCATCTCAAGTATGTTCATCAGGCAGACCATTGAGTACTGCTGAAAAAGAAAAACGAACTAGTTATTACTGTTGATTGTGTTTGGTTCATCGAAATATCACAACTTGATTTATGTCATATCGTTAATTTGAATTATAAACTCAGCCGAACAGGCTGAAAGTACTAGGCAGATTTTTAAACTGCAATCAAACACCAGAATATTATCGTCTTATGGTGGAAGTGGAACCTTGCATTCACAGAATTACGAAGATTTCACTAAATAATATTATTGTTTATTTTCAATGATGAAAATGAAAGATAGTGCAATAAATCTTGTAATGTACAAACATGGTGAAGAATCCATCACATGTAGTTATGCACAACGTCAGTCGAGTTAATGCATAATTTTGCTGCTGCTGATGCAGCATGCTTTTCTTGACAACATAAATAGAGCAGCAGTCTATTTACTAAATGAAGTTCAGAAATCAATTGAATTCTTTGTATTACGATATAACAGGGCAGCTTTCAAAGGCAATCCCTTTGGCTGTAGGGCAGGACGCATATGGACATCCATCAAGATCATTTCCCCACCAGTCGATATTGATGTTTTCCAAGCCCAAGCAGAGGTACAAGAGAACGCCCATAAACGCTAGACCAGCATCTAGGGCGCCCGAAAGGACATAATTGTGACGCTGCCACAAGTCTGGTCGATATCTGTACACAACATAGCCAGATAGGAAACCTACAATGATCCAGGTTATGTAATTAACTGCAGTTGCCGGTGGCATCTGTCCACAGGCGCCTATCAGAACTGGCATGTTGATGAGTCTAATCCACTCTTGATTCGGGAAGGCCTTTGTAGCAAACCAAACTAGCAGAGGAGCTATGGCTCCAACAAGGAAGAACCAGTTCACCAATCCATAAGTCCCTTCATCTCCAAAAATCTTTCGAGGGCCTATCAGGCCCCAAATTACTGATGCGTCATAAAAGACATGATCACCTGGGCAAGTCCACACACTATCAGAGGATGCCGTTTCACAGATACCAGGGATTGTTTCCATTAACCACCATGCAGTTCCCAAGTACACTAAACAAGCTATAACTGTCCCTACTACCTGACAAAAAAGGGGATAAATCTATCAGAAAATGCATACAAGAAAATGTAAATATTTCGCTGGATGATAAAACTAACCTGTGCCATGAACATTGTTCTTGGAGGAATTTTCATATAGTGACCAAGCTTGAAGTCTTGGAGGAAAGCAATAGCTTGTGTCATACTTATGTAACCGTAAACTTTGAAGCACATGTTAGCTACTGGATATCCAGGATAAATATATCCAATTATATACTCGGTGATGATGTTCAACCCCGGTGACTGTCATTTGGAAGAATTTTATTCGCAGATGTCATTAATTTGATCAAGACTAAATGATTTATCAAAAAGTGCAGAACGAATATGATATAGTTGGCATTACTTGGTTAGTGATGGCAGTAATGATACCAATCGGGAGAGTGAAGAAAATGGCGATAAAACAAGCTAGTATAACACCCCACCATGGCAGCTGAAGTTGCTCCTTGTAATATTCACACGCGAAGATAGTGAGTGCAATATTTGCCACAAGGATGCACCAAAACCACCATTCAGGAACTTGATTGTATTTGCTCATAAGTTTTGTGTGTATGTCCATCTTTTTCTCTTTAAAGCTAGACTTGCTTTGCTCCCATATCTCTCTGTATTTAACGACTGATTAATATCACTAGATAGTAATTTCCATCTGTAGCAAAATATTGATTACTATACCTTCCATGGAACAGAAGCACGTGCACGACTGTAGCACTGAGTGCAGCAAAGCCAACACCATAAGTCATGGCAAAGAATGTGCTGAGGTAAAGAGGTCCTTCTTGATTGTAGGCTGCTGTATCGAGGTGGAAATTAGAGTCAATTATGCTCGAAATGTTGTAAATCTGACCGGAGCTGGTGAAGAGATCATCCGAAAATATTGGGAATGTTTTGGCTTTGTAAACGTTGAACCAGTAGCTCAAGGGTGTCACGACATACATAACAAGGAAAAATCCAGCAGCTACATTGGCAGTGGCAAACCACGGGCTCGCTAACGGACTTCCAAGGTAGGATGAAATAGTGGACCAGTCCAGTCCAACAGCTCCTATACCGAGCCCTTTAAGACCTGAGCCAATTTGTTGGGCTAGGGTTGATTTGGGAAAGATCCAACAAATCCATGATAGGGAGGTTAACATTTGAAAGAGATAACCAGGGAATATGTAGTAAGCAAAACTGCAGATGAAGGCAATTATGAAAAACTGAGTTCGCGTTACTCCACCCTTGGGTCGTTTTTCTATCTCGTGCAGAGCTCTGTTATAACATTATCAATGTAAATTAGAGGGTCATCTATGGCTCTGATTTTCAATTTTTTGGTTTCAAAACTTTTATGCACGGAGAAAGACATGTAAAGCAAAGCAATCTGTTATATTTTCAGGATGAAGATGAAAACTGGCCTGAACAAGGAGACTTGGACTAGATTGGCTGGCCACCACATAGCTGCTGGCTCCACAAGATACCTTCTGAAAATACCAGCCCATCCAAATCCCAACACCTACCAGTCAAACCCGAAAACCAACTAAAAAACCAACCATAAATCAAGATTTGTGGATGAACGACGAAAATAGATGAGATCTTACCTGTGTCGTAATGATAACAATCAGAGAAACGAAGAAGGTAATATGCTTCTTATAGAAGATCTTAACAGCAGTAACAACATGAATGGCATAGACTGTGCCAGCTCCTGAATTCGCAAATATGGTGATAAGAACATGTTCTTTTACGTTGAATGGACCTGGATTCATCGTAAATTCCCATCGCGTTCCTTTGAAAAATACACGGTCTGTGATCTTTGCAGCCATGAGTTGGCCTAAAGGAACTACTGCAATCTGAGCAGAGATAGCAGTGATGGACAAAGGCTCGGTCCGGTACCAGAAAAACTGGTTGAGGAACGATAACAGGACACATGAGACAGTCCCCAACACCCACATTCGAAAGGTGAGTACTGGTAGAGATGGATCATCAGTAGTCGGAACGGTGAGAGCCACCTGTTGGATTGGCGAGTTTTCTTCAGGTTCAGGCAACTCGTTGACCTCAGATACAGGGCTATAGTCTTGATTTTCCTCATGAAGTTTTGATACTGGAAAAACACGTTAAAGCTAAACAGCAAGAAAAAGAACAGAACCTGAATCAGTACTAAAAAGGTATAATCTTGTTGATAAAAAAACTTACTTAGCGGGGCTCTGATTTCATAAGAGGATTCTTCCATTTCTTTCTTTGAGTTATATGGTGAATCTGAATCTTACTAAATTTGTATTACTGGCAGGAATATAAAGCTGTAACTGGATCACTGATAAATGCCAAAACAATGAAAGTGAAAGTGATATTAAAATAAGACGAGTTACTGCAGGTAAAGCTGATGATGATCCATGTGCAGCATTAATCAGCAGATAAACTGGACGGTCCCAGCGCGTGTGTACAGAAGTATTGAATACATTTATCATTAATTTGGCCAAATTTACCATACAACTTGTATCAGAATACAGTTGAGATTATGGGATTATGCATCAGTTTTTGTCCAGACCTGGGCTTGTTATTTTACTTTTCAATTCAGTTCTGAGTTCAACTGTAAAAATGAAGAAATAAACATCTACAGAAGTTATTCAAAACACGGAACGTTCAAGAATTCAGTGTAATGAATGCAAAATCTCAAGTTCAACCAAACCAAATGCAACACGAGACGTGGAAATATTATTTTTTTCAAAAGAATAATGCTATTAATAGTCAGTTTGGATCGAATTGGTCCTTAGTCTAGTCTTTCGTTGAAAACCTCTTTGATAAAGTGCAGTCAAAACCCAATGCCGCATTAGGTTAGGTAGCTGGATGATAATTGCTCCTCTGCGTTCCTTGCAAAATTGTCATATAAAAATCTGATTATTCAATATTTTACTTTCAAAAGCTATTTAATATTAATTAATTAATAATTTTTTATTATTATTATTATTTTTTTGTGAGTTTTCGAAACGTTTACGGAAATTTCTGTCTCTAAAACATGCCTGAAACGAAAACGCTAATGTTTTAGAGGTTTTCTTGTATCTTTAGTCCATAGTAATAGTGTGTGAATATACGATGTATTTGAGTTTTAATTTGATAAGAGAGAAAGCCAAGTGAAATTGGTTTGGTTGGTGTCAAATTTTCCCTTGTTACCTAACTACTTAACGTAGTACTTTACTTTGGAAGTATTTTTAGGTAAAAAAAAAGGTTCACTTTTCAAAGATCCCAGATACTAGATTCCATTATGTTGGCCATCGGATGACATTATGCCACGTCACACTTGTCCATGTCCACATTGTTATACCAGAAATTAATTATAATTAGGAATAATTGCATCAGAGGCTCCAAACCTTTCAAACACTAGTAGACTTTTTCCAAACATTTGATTTGTTGCAACCGTCATCCCTAACATTTTCAAACGTTGGATGTGATGCCTCAATGGATGGAAAACGTCCAACTTAGCAGTAATTGACTAAAATATTAAATTTGACCACATTTTTAACATTTTATAAAGGGCAAATTAGTAACTTTCTATTTACCAAATTAGATAATTAAATTAATTAAATAAAAAAAAAGAACAGTGAACAGAACAAAAATCTGCATCTCCTCCAAAACTAGAGATTTTAAAATCGGCTATGTCATTGGCCACTAATCACCGCCCACAACGTCGGTGCACAGCAATCACAACCCAACCACTATCACCACCCAACGTGCAAGATGGGATGCGGCAACATCACCTTCAAAATCATACAAACAAATCGCGTAATTCTCTGTAATTTCAGCCTAAATTAGAAAACTTCACAACCGACAAAAGCTCTAGTATCAACGCGGTGTATACGACCCTGAAATCTGCTAGGGTCGGGAACGCCTTTTCCTATTCCAGGAATTCACTGAAACCCAATAGAGTAAACACTACTCGCATTAATTTACGAACGAATCCCAGAAATGTTAGAACAAAAACAAAGGGGAGGGATATCAAATTCAATTTGAGAATTCATTTTATAGGATTGATTTGAAAAAATTTCGATTTGAGAAATATGTACTTTAAGATGGTAGTGATTCATGGTGTTGGGCGACTGGAGGGTGAAGGGAGAGGTGGTGGGGGATGGCGGCGACGGCAGTGTTCATGGTGATGATTTTGGTTAGGGTTTGGGGAGGGGGAAGAAGATACAGTTTTTTTGCCCCCCCCCCCCCCCCCCCCCCCCCCC